TGTGAGGAAAGAAGGATGTACTATAACAGGTTATTATAGTGTGACCCACATCCACATAGACACAGTTTGGCTGTGTGAGTAAAGAAGGATGTACTATAACGGGTTATTGTAGTGTGACCCACATCCACACAGACACAGTTTGGCTGTGTGAGTAAAGAAGGATGCACTATAACAGGTTATTATAGTGTGACCCACATCCACACAGACACAGTTTGGCTGTGTGAGTAAAGAAGGATGTACTATAACAGGTTATTATAGTGTGACCCACATCCACACAGACACAGTTTGGCTGTGTGAGGAAAGAAGGATGTACTATAACGGGTTATTATAGAGTGACCCACACTGTGGGCAAGACACCAGCCCACGGTGCAGCCCGTTAAAGTACCTGTAAAAGAGAGAGAGTGAAGCAACATTGTGGTGAAGAGAAAAGAGATTATCAACTAAAGGAGGAGAGTTAATAAGCCTTTGATTCCAGCCTATCTAACAGTTGAAGAGCCACCCCAGATATGAGAGCAGTACTCCAAGTTAGGACCAATTAATCCCTTATATACTTAAACCAACAGCTGAAGTAACAGTCCAGGCGACACTAGTGACTCACCTCATCTAATAAAATTAAAAAATTAATATCTCGGTTATCATTAATTTCCGGCAGAAATATCATAGAAGTAAAAGGTCTTAGAATTGTCGGAACATTACAAAAAAACATATTTCAAGTCACTAAATTAACAGAGAATAATACACATCTATTTGTTATATACATATATGATTTATGATTAATAGAATGTTAAAGAACTCTTGTTAAGACTAGGCGGGCTAGTTAGCTTGTTAACCAGCTCCTTTTGATGTAATTTTCAATATTGAATTTGAATTAAAAGAGAAAAGAGTTTCACGCCAACTCGGCCCAAGTGTCCAAGTAAGGACTGAGTAGTGCCCCTTGAGATGATGATACTGTACACCTCTATTGGGTCACCCTTCTGAACTGGCTCTGTTACGTTCTGTTGGCATGTACTGGCTCTCTGTTACGTACTGTTGGCACTGTGGGCATGTACTGGCTCTCTGTTATGTACTGTTGGCACTGTGGGGATGTACTGGCTCTCTGTTACGTACTGTTGGCATGTACTGGCTCCAGGGCCGGCGCCAGCCTATTTGGCACCCTTAGCAGGACTGTAGCTGGCGCCCCCACTTCACGATTGGGTTTGCTTGTTTATGCTTCTATACAACAAGATTTAGAGAACTCGGGAAGCTCACTGCCCAAGTCTTTAACACTGGAAGCTCCCCATCAGGGTCCTATGTACACCTTTAGTTGTGATGATTTGTTTTAATACTTGACTGAGAACAAGTCCGTGTTGTTACTCCTCACACACATGGAGGTTTGCAGCCTCTGGTCAACAACATTTGACGCCGAGTTATTTTTGTTAATGTTGCCACATTCTTACAATAAATTGATGGAGAAAGTGTTGAATGTAACTCTGCCTTACTCTTACCAACAGTTCTTAATAAAGCTTTTCTTTCACTAACAGATACCTTGCATAATGGTCATGTAGTACTGTACAGTTGTATGAAACATTGTAGGGGGCAGTTAACAGTATAATCAGGGAGATGACTACATAATACTGTACACTGTGTCAATGCTTATTTATCAATGTTATATCACTACTGTTAGACCTATGGTAAAAATAAGGCTGTGTTACTTTACGTTTTTTCTCCACTTTTCATATCTGATGCTTAAGTTGTGCTGTGTAATGCTTCATGTACTCAGTAAACTAGTTCACAGGTGTTCCTTCATATACTAAAATATTGTTCCTGGAAATACTTAAATTAAGTTGAAGTAATTTATATATTGGGGTTATGTTTCTGTGAGGGAAGTTGTTTACATTGACAAAACACAACAAAATGGGATTTGTTTGTTTGTTTGCTTCTATAGTGTAGACATTTGTTGAAACTTGTTTATCATGTACTGTATATTATGGGATATCTGTACTGTATATAGGCAGTGTACTGTACTGTAGGTATATTATTTAATATATTAGAACAGAGTTGTAATAATTCATCATTCCAGGATGATGACTTGAAGATGGAGGAAATGATGACCACAAGAGTTTTTCTGGTGACCTGACTCATGATGCACCAGAGACACAAGTCAGGTTAGGTACAGTATAGGTCATCTCTCATTGTGGTTTCTTCACCAAACTCATGACAAAGTACAGTAATTGTAACCCATAGACTGCCTTGTCTAGTTAACTCTTCTAAGTGTAAATATTAATAAAGTATTAGTACTGTACAATACTCGGGATGCACCAATTAATTGATATCAGCTACAGATAATATCAACATTTTGCTGAATAATATAATCAGTATCTGTAAACAAAGTATTAGTTGACGCCAGTTTGCTGTCTGTTTTGGGTTAATAAATTACTCGAGCATTTTTATTATCGGCAAAATACAGTAATTACGGAAACCAGTTACTGTCGTCCGTTCACACATTATGGGAAGGTCACACTTGGCCGCCGATCAGAGTGTTTTATTGGATAACATGGCAGTGTCCTCTGTGGAAGTCTGTCTATAGCACTTCATTGTAAGGTAATGGATATATTATCAGGCCAGACAAAGTAGCTTTTGTTTAATGTGATGAGAAAAATAATCTGGTAAACACTGATGAGAAAGGTTGTTTTATATACTGTAGCATCGTTAGAGTAAACTCCCAACAAAAAGTATTGGTGCTTACTGTAATGTGAACAATTTGAGACCAGTGACGATAGGTATTGGGAAAGGCGAGTTGTTCCAGCCGTATGTTGGCAGCCCTGATTGTCAGCCATATGGCAACACCTAGTGGAGGGGAGGGGTTATGAGGATACACTTACCAACCTTCCCCACATATCACAGTGTATACGTATCGTTTTATAACTCATCGATCTCACTCTGCACCAATACTTCAAGGTGTGAGTGTACATTATATATTTTATTGACCAATATTACCCAAATTAGAACTAAGAACGACATGCTACAGTGCAAGCATAATTCTTATAATGAACGACATACGTTGTTGAGACTGGATAAGAGCTTTTACAACAAATTTAGTCAAAATGATAAATAACACAATTTAAATCCAATTTTATTAAAGAATGAGTAAATAATGAATGTGTAGCCCGGAATTCATTGATGAGGAATATAAATACATCTATAATATTGGCTCAAACCTTAAGTACCCTACATCTTTCATAGACAAATGCCTGAACATTACTAAGAAATCTTTCTACAGAACTAATCCCAAGCCCACCCATGACCATAAGAATCTCTTAGTATTACCATTTCACAAAAATTTCTCTCAAATTCCTTTACAACTAAAAACCTGGAACGTCAATGTGGCATTTAAAAACTTATGCACTGTTAAACAAATGTTAATCAAGAACTCCCCCAACAACACAATTGGTTGCATTTATAAAGATCCTTGCAAGGAATGTAATGTTTTACTTAGGCCAGACAGGTAAAGATCTTGTAACTAAACTTAAACAACATAAATACAGTGTTAGGACAGGCCAGGAATCCAATGCTCTGTTTGTTCATTTGAGGGATAACAAGCATTGCATTGACTGGGATAATGCCTCCTCAATATTACCTTGTAATTCAATTGACAGTAGGAACATTATAGAATCTAGTCTCATTAAACAAACCGAAGCAGTAAACATGAATTTGAGTAGTATGTACAAATTGGACAATTTTGTAATTAAGAAGATTTGTAACCAGGTGAGAAGGTTGGGTCACCGTACCCTCTGACCTGACTACTGACCGTTGCGGTGTTTTTTAATATTAGTAGGGTCATTACTTAATACCTGACCATTGTGAACATGACCTCACCCTCTGTATATATGTACCTTGTTCTGTACTTCTCCTTAGTCTGTACTCACCCCTGAAGATGTGAATTACATGAAAGCGCTTGGGAACTTCGTGATTTCTTCTTTCCTTGTGGTTATCGGCATATATATATATATATATATATATATATATATATATATATATATATATATATATATATATATATATATATATATATATATATATATATATATATATATATATATACACACACACAGTTGTACCCTGCTTTACGCGGTTTCACTTAACGCGATTTCTCATATACGCGGTGCCTCACCAGAACCGAACTTTCACTTAACGCGGTTCATCTACTCATATACGCGGGAAGCGGCGCGGGCAGGAGGTCGCCCAGTCATCAAAACATTACCGAGTTCTTCACCCACCACAGCCGGCCCAAGTCAGTGATAGTGATAATTATAGTGAGGATATGGACTTATATGGACTTTGAGGGGTTTGACAAAGAGTCCCTGCAAGCCTCTGTGGCGGATAGTGATACAATTGATACAAGTGATACAGGTGAGGGCCAATAATCTGCCCTCTGCCTCGGAACCAACCCCCCATCCCCGTGTGCCCAGCCATCTTTTCTACTAATGTAAGTGTTAAAAAAACTAATATTATTGATATTTCTCCTAATTATTAATTGTGTGTGCAAACCATCATAAAGTTAAGATAATATTTTTACTACAACATAGTTGTGTGACGTCAAAAAGTGGATTTGGGGGTCGGGCCAGTCTCTATTGGAATTAATCCCATATGTTCTGTTGTTCACTTTATGCGGTACCCTGTGGGTTCAATTGACCGCATAAATCGGGGTACTACTGTAATGTAAACTGTACCTTTGTAGGATAATTAAACTATTTTTTTACCCCAAGTGCTGAAGACAAAGGTATTAGGTCAGGCATATTTGACAAATATTTTGACAACATGAAACTAACTTCATACAGTAAAGATGGTCAACATATTTAAGACCATCCATAAAGGCCTTTTATAACTTACGGGCACAGCGTAATCTACTTAAAATATCTAATTATTTCAAAGGTCATTAAAACACAATTACAGTACTTGAATTTTTAAACGGAGATCCCAGATCCTTAATAAAAACTAAAACCACAAAGATATACACTGTACTGTACCTTATGTTATAACAAAAAGTTTCCAATGTGGTGCAGCAAGAGACCCGTTAACCAAAACAAACCTTCGTCTTGTGGCCCATATCTTACATCTTCAAGTCACCGTCCTGGAATGAATAACATTTTAACAATTAATAAATTAAATACTCTGGGCAGTAATATTATATAATATGTATACAGTACTGTACAGTATTATATTATACAGGAACTCACTAAATCTTCAAACATTTAAATACAATATTATGGTTAAATTAAGACATTTCCATAAAACATATTAAAGAAAATAATGAAACACTTTAGAAAATCTTACCTCGACGAATGACACGAGGAACTTCATTAACCACGATCAGCGAGGCAGCAATATGGTAGTTGTCTTATCACTACAGTAACAACCAATTGGAGCCGTACACTGTAAACAAAATACCCCTGTTACTCTTTTTGTAGAAACTCAGGTAATTTTTTGTTCCAACATGTTGGAGACGAAACAACCTTGTAAAGGATTGCCATCAAGGTTTTATGCCGGGGCGCTCCTGCTTAACACAATTGCTCAAGGTATTGGATATTTGGACCCATATTCTGGAACAGGTGGTAATATCGACAATATTTACCAAGATTTTGCCAAGGCTTTCGACAGTGTACCCCAAGAAAGGCTGAAAATCAAACTGGAAGGGTACGGAATTCGAGGAAATGTCCTAGCGTGGGTAGAAGACTTTCTAGATGACCCCAAGCTGTGTGTGGCGATTCATGGCACGAAATAGTCGTCCGTACCTGTCACAAGCGGGGTACCACAGGGCAGTGTATTTGGCCGGCTGTTGTTTGTTTGTTTCATAATGACATGCCTGACGTTGTACACTCCTCCATACAAATGTTTGCCAATGACGCCAAGTTATTTCGGGAAATCAAGAACCAAGCAGACTGTGAAGAGCTGCAGAAGGACCACAAGTTAACTCTGGTCAACAACTTTCTTAATACCACTTACTAGTCACTAATGGATAACACCTGGTAAATTCACAAGTTATATCCCACTGCCATAAGGCTTTAATTATCTATAAACGCCGATATTGTGAAGCGTCATGCGATTTTTCCTTTCCCAGAGAATTAAAATACCATCGAAGACATGATTTGGTTAGGTTAGGTTTGAATCCCACCAAATTGATATTTTCCCCGAGAATTAAAACCTCACCATCGGACACACGATTTGGTTAGGTTAGGATCCCACCAAATACAGTGACAAAAATGTAAATTTCTTGTCAAAAAATAAACTGCAACTCTACAGTAAGTTACCAAAATGTCTCAAAAGCTAATATTTTACTACAAACTGAAATTTAGCCATAAATAAAAACTACCACATTCTTATAACCAATTTTTTTTAGTTCAATCAAATAAAAAAATCTTTCCCAAAATAAAAATGACCCAAAATCCCACCTTGGTTAATATATAGGACTAACCCGCCATAGTGCCGATGCTGCTGTATCATCTCACGTCCAGAAAATGTCTCAAATATCACCGTATAGTAAGTTTTTTCTGTTTAATATACCGGAGAAGTTAGGTTAGGTAGGTTTGTTTGGTTAGTTCTGTCCTTCATAACCACAAATGTTAAGTAGCGTTTATTTAAATAACATCCACTTACTAACATTACCACAAACAGTGTCCACTATAATATAACAAAAGTAACCTGACAAAATTATCATAAAATTATCCTAAAAGTAATAAACTACATAAAATTAACAATTCCCAAACGTAAAGTGACGTAAACACCACAAGTAACAAAACTTATCAAACGTAAAAGTAACAAACTCCACAAGTAACAAAACTTATCAAACGTAAAAGTAACAAACTCCACAAGTAACAAAACTTACCAAATGTAAAAGTAACAAATACTCAACAGGAAAGTAATAAAATACCTCAAACTATCAAACTATTTCCTTAACATTGTTCCATTGACAATTTCCTCCAGTAGTTTACATTAATAAGCAGCAGCAGTTATTGGTCCACTTGCCTTCACCGTCTACCTGTTAATTAATACCTACACCACACACCTGCACCATAAACACACTATATACCTGCACCACAAACACACACTATACCTGCACCATATACCTACACCACACACCTGCACCATAAACACACTATATACCTGCACCACAAACACACACTATACCTGCACCATATACCTACACCACACACCTGCACCATAAACACACTATATACCTGCACCATAAACACACTATATGCCTGCACCATATACCTATACCACACACCTGCACCATAAACACACACTATACCTGCACCACAAACACACTATATACCTGCACCATATACCTACACCACACACCTGCACCATAAACACACTATATACCTGCACCATATACCTACCTGCACCCACACACCTGCACCATAAACACACTATATACCTGCACCACAAACACACACTATACCTGCACCATATACCTACACCACACACCTGCACCATAAACACACTATATACCTGCACCAATAACACACACTATACCTGCACCATATACCTACACCACACACCTGCACCATAAACTCACTATATACCTGCACCAATAACACACACTATACCTGCACCATATACCTATACCACACACCTGCACCATAAACACACTATATACCTGCACCACAAACACACACACACTATACCTGTACCATATACCTATACCACACACCTGCACCATAAACACATTACACACCTGCACCACAAACACACTATATACCTGCACCAATAACACACACTATACCTGCTCCATATACCTACACCACACACCTGCACCTTAAACACACTATATACCTGCACCACAAACACACACTATACCTGCACCATATACCTACACCACACACCTGCACCACAAACATACAATATACCTGCACCATATACCTACACCACACACCTGCACCACAAACATACAATATACCTGCACCATATACCTACACCACACACCTGCACCATAAACACACTATATGCCTGCACCATATACCTACACCACACACCTGCACCACAAACACACAATATACCTGCACCATATACCTACACCACACACCTGCACCATAAACACACTATATATCTGCACCATATGCCTACACCGCACCTACTGTAGTTAGTCCCAGATGGGCCTAGTTGGGCCCAGATGGGCCTAGTTGGTCCCAGATGGGCCTAGTTGGTCCCAGATGGGCCTAGTTGGTCCCAGATGGGCCTAGTTGGTCCCAGATGGACCTAGTTGGTCCCAGATGGGCCTAGTTGGGCCCAGATGGACCTAGTTGGTCCCAGATGGGCCTAGTTGGTCCCAGATGGGCCTAGTTGGTCCCAGATGGACCTAGTTGGTCCCAGATGGGCCTAGTTAGTCCCAGATGGGCCTAGTTGGTCCCAGATGGGCCTAGTTGGTCCCAGATGGGCCTAGTTGGTCCCAGATGGGCCTAGTTGGTCCCAGATGGGCCTAGTTGGTCCCAGATGAGCCTAGTTGGTCCCAGATGGGCCTAGTTCAACCAGTGTGACCGCCAACCACAGAGATAGCTGGGTAGCTTCAAACATAGGTTGGATGTTTATATGAGCAATAGGGGCTGGGTGGACTGCCCAGTATGGGCCAATAGGCCTGCTGTAGTTTCCTCCATTCTTATGTTCTACTGTACTGTGTCTAGTTAACAAGGCCATACATAATGTTAACTTACCACGAGGGAGGGAGGAAGGTCCACAAATTAACATTTACTAACAAAATTAACAACAATAAACAAGACGGCCACCTTGGTTGATGTTGACCTGCTACACTTTGTCCGATTCTCTCTCTTATCTTTCAGTAACTACAAGTTTTCATTATTAACACTATAATAAAAGTATTTTATTTAAAAATGATAGATAATATAAATAAATTATACTTTATAATGTTTTATTATTGATTAAATTTCCGTTAATAGATATATATTAATATTAAACTAAACTTATGTCTGGCTGGAGAACCAAATAGCTTGACAACATTCACAAATACACTAAAATAAATTTAAACAATAACATTTATTGTTTAACTATTTAAGCAATAACATTTATTGTTTAACTATTTTAAGATTATTTATTAATATTTTATTAATATATAACACAAAATGTAAGCTTATAAAACCTTAATAAACTCGCTATTTTAACTATTCATAATAATATTATTAACGGTAACCATTAGTCTAAAACTACATAATTATTCAGCAATAAATATTAAACAATAATTACGTATATAAAAAGTAAATAATGATCAACTACCAATAATAATATTAAGAATTAAGTCTATCTTGAATGATGAGTACTTCTCGCTATCATGTCCTGTTGGCCTGAGACACACCTGAGAAGCTACTAATAATTGTTAATTGTACTTATTATATTGTATTGTTTCTTATTCCACTTAGGTTAATTGTATATTTTGTATGTAATTTATATGCATCATTGTCTTCCACTACTATATTAAATCAACTCCAAGAGTAATATTAATTAATTGCAAAAATATCAGCAAATGTCTACGAATCACGTGATATGAGGGCGGCTCCTCCACGGCGTGCCACGCCACGCTCTGAAAAATCCGTGGCTTAGATTAGAGCGTGTCCTTCGCGTTCTAGCCTTGACCTTTATCTCTAAGTAACCATCAAGTCTTCTGCAATACTTTTCGGGGTATCGAATGACACGTTTAGTTATGACTACAAGGAAGGGATCCTGGTGGTAAGGTATCTCCTGTTTGGTACGGATAATCATTTTTCCTTATTGAATTGTTATTATATATATATTTCGTATGTCTTGTGTAACATAGTAATGTTGATAATATTGTTTGAATTAACTCTTACAGTATAAATTTATACTTCTGACATCACTCTTATTTTATTATACAATTACTTATTCACTTAAATTCTATTTTTAAACATTCTCCCTTTAGAACATAAATTAGATTAATTAATTATCTTCATTTATATTCCTTGTTTTCTGACTGTTTACTTTTTCAAGTACTTGTTTAAGTTGGTGGGTATTTGGTGGAGATAATTATTGCCGTGTTCCCTATTTCTTTATTTTGTTTATCACTGGGTGATTCCTCCCAAATATAAAAGTAGTGGGATCGCGACAAGTGAGGAGACCTGTGTCCTGGAGCTAACCGCCATTGT